TGCATCTGGACTTGTAATATCAAAAAGTTTATGTAAATCATTTTTGAAAATTTACTCTTTCATTCTATATCCCTCAAAATTTTTTATGTGACTTTTTTTTAATGACTTGTAGACATTATGTAACTTGAGCAACTTTTTGGCAGCATATTTGTTCTCACATTGCACTGTTCTCATATTGCTAGCAAAGCAAGTTCTTGTGCTTACTTACTCTTAAGGTCTTTCATCAGTAATGATTCCCAACTCTTGATAAGAGCCTATAAAGTTTAAATTCGACTAATTTCAGAGTCATGTACCCCTGTGTGGAATCCGTATCTCTTAAAAGATATACGTCGGATAGAAAAGGTCCAGAAACATTATACAAGAATGGTCTGCAAACGGTGTTGTAATCCATATAAAGATTATGCTTCAATACTTGATATCTTCAATCTTGAATGCCGGAGAATAAAATGTGATCTTTTAATGGCTTATAAGATTATGCACAACTAAGTTGATTTGCCTTTTTCTGAGTTTTTTACTCTCGCTCCTACTCATTATTCAACTAGATGTCATTCCCAAAAATTAACATCACGTAACAACTACATCAATGATGTAAGGAGATTTTTTTTCAGTGAAAGAATTACTAAGATATGGAATTCTTTACCTGACTATATGGTGTATTCCTCTTCATTGTCTCTATTTAAATCCAATTTAAAAACATACAATATTCAGAGATACTGTTTACTATTTTAAACTTGGTGTTACATAAGAGTAATTCTCCAATTACCTGTATCACTTTTTTGTATTTTTATTTAAATGCTAATAAATTGAAATAATAAAATGATAATAAAATCTAACTGTCGTAGTCGGTATCCTAACCTTTTTCCAATAACAAAAGACGGATAATATGGTAATATTGGCACTTGAGTTTAATGATTTCTTTTCTTCCTTGTGATAGTAGAGGAAGTTTGCCAGTACTTGTTGCTTTAAAGGAAGTCTGGAATTCCAATATAAACAATCGTGGTCAAGTTGTCAAAAAATAAAATCATTTGTGTGGTCAGCAATAGCGCATGATTGCACGCCATAATTTTAATTTTAAAAATATAATTTACTTTATTAATCTTTAAAAAATTTAAATTAGAGAAAACTGTGTGTGATATAATAATTAATTCGTAAATTATAATTGACTTAATCAATAATCAATAATCATACTAATAATAATGAAGACTCATACAGGAAATATAAACATGATAAAAAGTGAAAGCAACTAAAAATTGACTTAAATTAAAATTAAGTAAGCAAAAAAGGTTGCTATACAAAAAATATATTACTTTTTAAAATCTCATTTTACAGATTACTATATTTAATTTATTATAAAATTATTATATATTTGTTATATTTATTATATTTCACATGAACTAAAATCATTACTTGGTATTTACTCTCACACTTAGAAGTTAAAATATATAAAATAAAACCACCTAACAAAAAATGAAATAACTTCAGATAAGCCAAAAATAATTGAAAAAAACATAATATTTTTAGTGTTCGCTAAAACTTTTCATTTTTGCGCATTATTTAAAATCAATTTATTTAAGTCATCTTTATGCTTTTGAAAGTAATGGACTAAAAAATAATTTTCATTATAACTCATTGTAAAATGTTATTTCAACCATTAATTTATTTGCATAATCTGAATTAATTTAAGGTGAAAATGAAGCTAATGTTGTTGATCAGACTTTATACTTTAAAAAGTATGTATATTTCAAGAATATAACAAAAGAACTTTTGCAATTTTCATGCAATGTAAGTTAACAAAGACATGATAAAGTTTTGTTTTTTCTAAAATTTAGCTAAAAAACTTAAATTTAATATATGCAAAAGAATATTAAATGCTATGTTTTTACATTTAAAGTTTTGAATAACAATGCTATCCTAAAGCACATTTTAATTTCAAATTTGTATAATGTAAGTAAAAACTACATGCACTTGCTAAAGTTTTGGCGCTTTTTCGTAAAATTTTTATTGCTTACAAAATGAACACTTACATTTTTACATAATTCTTATTTGGTTAATTATTTTATTTTAATAAACAAATCATTTGTATATGTAATTAAGGGGTTCATCCATAAAGTACATCATCCTATATTTGTCAATTTTTAACCCTTTCCCTCCTGTCACAAACAATCACATATACCTGCAACCCCTCTACCTCTTAAACTGTGATAGCAGTTTTTACTTCAAAAATACTTTAAAAGATTTATATGTAAATACTTTTGCAACATTTTAAAAATTCAACCTAATGAAAATAAGCAATACGCATAAACATAAGAAGTGTAAGTAAAATTTTCAACGAGCTAAAAGATTTTCTTATTTAAATGATAAGTATTAATAAAGTTGTCCTACTAATGTAATTTTTTAAAGTCTTGGTCTTGCAGAAAAAACTGTTTTAGATTTGATAACTTTCATAAATGTTATGAAAATCACTCAGTAAAAGTGCAACCAGTTTTTTAAAATTGCTTTTGTTAAGTACTATTAATGAATGAGTTCAATACTTTTACAAATTTTTTGTTATGTAACTCTAAAAAATCTAACTCTTAATAAAAATAATAAAAATCCACAATAATAATTGCTAGGTAACGCAAATGATGTAACATATGTTAATTATACAGTATCAAAAAAACAATTTAATTTTCCTTAGCCTGTCACCTCTGATGAATTTTTTTAATTGGTATAGAATTCTTAACATCTTGTGAAAATTTCTAAGTTTAAAAAGTTGAAACAATTTTTTTACCTTGTTTTTTGCTTAATGTAAATTAAGTGGCATTTTCAGTAATAAGTTGCTGGCATTTTCAGTAATAAGTTACAAACATAGAAGAAAAGTGAAGAAAAGAACATGAAGAAGGTAAGCATAGAAAGCGAAGTATCATTGTCAAGTTTCTCAATTTCAAAGATTGTGAAAATATTCTCGAAAAGTACAAAAGAATGAAATTGTGGAAGGAAAACATGTATATTAACAAAGATTTCAGCAAGCGGATAACTAGTATTCGTAAATAATTTTTCCGACAAGCAAAAGAACTACAAGTATCAGAAAAACAGAAAAAATAATAATAATAAAAAATGAACTTGAAAAATAATAATAATTTTGAAAATGCTTTTATAGTTTTTCAAATTAACCAATTTAAATCGAATGAAGAATCTAATCCAGACATAAATTACTTTAACGAAATTAATTAGCCTGAATTTGCATGCTCTTATTTTCAACCAAATGAAGTTTGTAACTTTATAGGAGTAGATAATAAAATTGATTATTTAAATGTCATTCAAGTGAATTTTAGAAGTTTAATAAGAATTTTGAAAATATTTTTATTTAATTCACAAAACCAACAACTGTTTTAATGTGATTTGTGTAAACAAAACTTGGTGTTCTAAAACAGATTTTGAATCAAATTCTAATCTCCTTCTCCCAGGTTTTAAAGAGATTTTTTTAGAACAAAACAATAACAAGCATGGAGGAGAAGTACTTTTTTATTTGAAATAAAACATTTTCTATAAAGTTAGAAGCGATATGAGTGTTTCTAATACAGATCAAGAAATCTTAACAATTGAAGTAATAAACAAAAATTTCAAAAACATTTTAATCAACAGTTGCTATAGGCCTCCAACTGGAAGAATAGAAAACCTTGGTAAATTTTTGAAATACAATCTAATAAAAAAAACTAGTCAAGAGAAAAAAAAAAGGTATATTTTGGGTGACTTCAACTTGGATTGTTTTGAGTATAGCGAAAACCAAAACATATAAACATTTTATAACAATTTATTTGAAATGGGAATCATTCCAATAATAGATGGACAGACTAGAATTAAAATCATATGTTGAATTTAATTGATAATATATTAACATCAGACTAATTTAAAGAATCTCTAAAAAAATGAATCAAAAAACTGATGTTTCTAATCACTTTCCCATATTTTTTTCAATTAAATCAGAATTATATCAAACAAAAAATAAGGGTAGAATAATGCAAATTGTCAAAAATGGTAACTTAAAAGCATTAAAGTCAAAAAATTCAAGTCAAATAAAAATCGAATGAAAATAAATACATTGATAAATAAAAAATATCAAAATATTAAAACTAACAGAATGAAAACTTAAAGAAAGTATTGAAAACAGCAGATTGAAAAAGAATTAGAAATTGATGGATAAACAAAGAATTTCAAAATATTAAAAATAGCAGAATTAAAAACTAAATGATTACAAATTAACAAATGTAACAAAGAATTTTAATCTTTAATTGTAGAACCATTTATCGTTTTTTTTTTTTAACAAATAATTGAAAAAGTTGACTTTAAATTCAGAGATTTTATATCAGAGGTAGTTTGTTCCACAAGTTAATACTTTGATATTTAATAAATTTCAATAATTACCAGCAGTATTTTAGAACAACAAAGTTTAAGTTACTGATAGAGCGAAGAAGATAATGATCGTTTATACTGATAGAGCAAAGAGGATAATGACAGTTTATACTTATAAAAAAGTTGTTGAATGATAAACAAGCCTTCTTGGATTTGGAGAGGTCAATATAGTAAAAAAAAAGAAAAAAAAGGATGAAAGACGTTTTTACATAATGGTATTATTTTAGTTTCCTCATTTTACTTTTGTCTTTTTTTAAGGGATCATTACATAACATTTATTTCCTATTTAGTGCAAGATAAATTTAGTGCATAACATAATATTTATTTTGCACTAAGTGAAAATGATAATTTAGTTTTTATTTAAAGTAACAATTGTAGCAAAATTCTCAAAATTAAAAATATGCTATCATAAGATATTTTTTAAATAAAGCTGAATATCAGTTGTGTATGTAACAAGAAAACTGTTTTTATTTTTCAAAACATAACAATGAGAAATAAATAATAATTCAAGAAATTTTTGAGACATATTTTTAGAAAACTCGAAAATCTAAAAAACATGTAGATTAAATGCAAACTTACAAGTAAGAAAAAAAACATAAAAAAAAAACCTTTAAGACGATTATTTTCAGCTTGTAACTTTTTTAGTTCTTTTTTTAACATCAGTATTTGCTTTAGGTGATCTAAATAAAAAGTTTACTACAGAAATAATATAAAAAAAAGATGTTTCTACACCAGCGTAAATATTAAATTCTAAATAAATACTAAGAATGCAACTTTGGAAACACAAACTCTGCATATAATATTTTTATAGATATCTTCCTAAAACACTACCATAAACATTTTCCAATCAAAGAAAAATAAATAAAACTTTCTTATTCAAACTGACCTTGGATCACTAATAAAATTAGAAAATCATCAAAAAAAAAACAAAAAAAAACATCATAGAAACAAACTTATCTAGGTACAAGGAATACAAAAATTTATTTGAAAAAATTAAAAAAAAATTAAAAAAAAAAATCTATTATTTAAAACAATCCTAAAAAAAATGACTATATTAAAAAAACTTGGAACATATTAAAAGAAATGATTGATGAAAACTATATAAAATCATATAAATTTTCCAGATTTTCCAGATTTTTAATGAGGCTGAATATGTTAGGGATAATGTTTGCAGAACATTTTCAAAATTCGGATAACTTTTTTGAAACCTATAATACAAATCAATTTGAATTTCAATGAACTAAACTATGAAGAACTAGAAACTGAAAAAAACTTGCTAAAAATAAGTAAGGCTCCATGCATTGACAAGATTTGTATCAATTTAGTTATGTCTTCCAGATAAATTAAAAATAGCAAAAGTTGTACCAATACTAAAAAATACAGGGATTGATATCTCAATTCTTCCTATCTTTTTAAAACTTTTAGTGCAAATAATTTATAATAAATTATATAAATATGTGGCAAACAACAAAATCTAACCAAAATACAACACTAAACCAAACAGGCAATATTAGATTTTGTAAATAATATAGACTACTCCCTTAAATAAAAAATTTGTATTCTGAATCTTTGTTGACTAATCGAAAGCGTTCCACTATGTATATTGTACAACCCTACAAAAAAGATGGAAAAAGATTGAAAAATATGGGATAAAAAGTGTTGCCTTAAACTGGTTCAAAATGTCTTGCTGCAGATGATACTAATTTATTTTTTATACGTCCATATCTATTGCAGAACCTTTTTAAACTACAAACTCTTGAAAAACTAAACAATTAGTTCTAACCTAATAATCATTAAACACAGAAAAAACTAAATACTTTTTCATTCCAAAAAAACACTACCTCTGACATTACCTTTGCTGAAAATAGAAAATAATGAAACCCAAGCAAAAAAAGTTTCTCGGTATATTTATTGATTAGAACATTTCACAGAAAGTGCACATATACATGTTAAAGAACAAGGTATCAAAAAACATCAGTATAAAAAGCTTTTTTTTTATCCTTTATTGTCTCCAAAAATTTTCTTTATTTGTCTATTACACAAGGCTATAAATTGCGCTAACATTGTGTGTTAAGTATATATTTAAGTTAATATTGCATGGGTAAGTACTCATAAAATTATTACACTAAATAAAAAGCAAAAGCTGCAAGAATAATCTATAACAAAGATAAATTCTCACATGCTTTTAAAACACTTAAAATGATTATATTTCTATTAAGCTAATGTATTCCAAAAGTTGATGCTTTTGCTAAAATATAAACTTGGATTTGTTACACTCAATTTCTCAAAAATTTCTTTCATAATAGCAAAAGTAAATAGACACAAAAAGAGAAGAAAACTTTAAATTATTTCATACCATCTGTACAACAAAATAATATCCAAAAATATTTACGAAATCGAATAACCTGAATTCTTTAAAATTATTATCAAAAAATCTCATTTAAAAACTTTGGCATATAAAATTTGCCCAATGGTCACACACAAGCAGTAAACGCCTGAGGGAAGAAATGAAGTACATTAGAATAAAGGAGAACTATTTTTTGAACAAAGCATATTTTGACAGTTGTCAAGACAAAAATAAAGATTAATAGAGGAATATTTAAAAATAAATAAGACAGACAATGCACCTAAAACAGTACTAACCAATAAAAAAAAAAAAAAAAAAAAAATTGTATTACAAACACTAATATGAACGAAGATATACAACAAATATATCACCAAACAAAAAACTTATAAAACAAAAAATTGGTTACAAAATAAAAAGTATGCTAACAACAATGGAAAGCTTCACAATGGAAAAAAAAAATTAATGCTAATGGGTAAACATAATTTGTGTAGTGATTAAGTAATAAACATCTCCTCAGAGTCGCGTCTATTATTAAACGTTTTGATGAGGATCAGCACTTATAATTAGTTTATCCCGTCAGACAAACATTATTGCCACTTATGCTTTACCCTGCGACTGTAAGAGTAAATAAGACACAAAAGGAGAAGAAAACTTTAAATTATTTTATATCATCTGTACAACAAAAAGATTTACAAAATCGAATAACATGAATTCTTTAAAAATATTAACAAAAAAATTCTCTTAAACACAGAAAAATTTATGAACTTTTTTAAATCAAAAAAAATAAAAATGTAAAAACAATAAAAACTATAAAAACTTTAAATATTATTTATAAATGAAAAAAGAGAAGAACAAATAAGAAAATTCTGCCTAATATAATAAACCATGTACAAACATGTTTATGTGTATCTTAATAAAATGTTTGTTTAAGATTTAAGTAAGACCAATTTTTTTGCATTTCTTTTATTTTTCTTGGATTCTTTTGTGAGTTTAGATTCTATTGGAATCTAAACTCACAATAAACTGCGAAACTATTTTGTTTATAAATATGTATTATTTTGTTTATAAAATAGAATATATAGTAGAATAGAATATATAGTTATAGAATAGAACTTATTGTAAAGATAATATACAAAAAATATTAATGTTGAGCAGTTTGTTGATGACAGAATTGATGGTCTTGTCATCAATTTTTTTCTTCTGCAAGTTTTCCATGTTCTTTAATTAATAATGATACGTTACAGTCTATTTGCGGTAGTGGTGTAGTGGTAGAGGCGCTCGCTTCATAAACGAGTGGTTCCGAGTTCAATCCCCACCACGTCCCTGGTAGTACCGCGCTCAACTCGTTTCTTCGCGCAGCGGCCTTGTTCGTCAAGGTTTGTTTTTCGGAGTTATAGAGTTGAGAGAGGGTTATAGCCACAAAATAAGTAGCCTCCTCGTCTGTAGTGGCCTTCTCGGCCTTGAGGAGGTGAAGTAAAATAAAAAAAAAAAAAAAATTTAGTAGTATGTACATTTGTGGAATTTTATTAAATGCTATACTTTGTTAACAATTTTATTATTTATATGACAAATTTGTATTATGTATATATTATGTAATATTATGTAAATATTTGTATTTGAATAAAGAACAAAAAAATATATATATATAATTAAAACTTGAAATATGGTTTCCAGTAGGAATTTCCAGAAAAAACCATTCAAATAATAAAACTTTTTTGATACAATTAATGAGGATATGTGACACCAAGGACCATTTCTATAGTTGTAAAATCTCTCTTGTACATTTTATTCTTAGGAAATGCCAACTACAAATTTTATGACAAAAAAAAATGAAAAAAATAATTTTTGTTGTTACATTTTTGTTTAGAACCTTGGTCATACTTATATGATAGTGAACTCCTCAGTCTGTCTTTGTGTCCTTATTGTCAGTAAACTTCAAAAAGTAAGAAAGTGACAATGTATAAATGTATATAACACTTTAAGTTATATAAACTGTTATCAATATGTGTCCTGTAAATAAATTAAAAGATAAAATATTTTAATAATAAAAATAAAAGAAATAAAAGATAACTGATAATGATAATAACTAATAATAACTGGTATATTTAATTATTATCTGTCATTTAACAAATAACTTCTTTTACTCCATTATTTTCACAAAACAAAAAACAACTATTCTATAAAAATTTTGTTGTTCTAATAATCAGCAATTTTATTTGTAAAACAAAAACTTGAAATTGAAATTGAAAATGAAAATAAAAGAATTGAAAAAAAAAATTTTAATAAACTTATTTTTTTGTTTTAATTAAAATTTATTCAGACTTTTTAATAAATCATTTTTAATAAGAACATGAAAAAACCACAATAAAAAAAATTACCCTCTTTAAATTTGTTATTAAATTTTGATGAAAGAATTGAGAGTTGCAATGTTTTTAATTCAAGCTGTTTTTGAATATTTTCCTTTTCTTGATTCAAACTTGTAACTTGATTTATAAACTTCTTATTCTCAGCCTAGAAAAAAAATATCTTATATTTTTAGTTAAAAACAATACATATTTTCAAGTAAAAAACATTTCAGCTTACACAAAAATATTATTTTTTGGTAAAAATATTAGATCATATTTTTAAACAAAAACATTATATCTGATTTTCAGACAAAAATATTAGATCATATTTTTAAATAAAAACATTACATCTGATTTTCAGACAAAAATGTTTCATCATATCTAAAAAACATTGTATCTCAGCAAAATATATTAAATCATATTTATAGACGAAAACATTATACCATACCAGCCAAAAATGATAGCTAATTTATTACAATATGATTGTAATAAATTAGCCAAAAATGATAGCTAATTTATTACAAATAATTTAACCCTGAAAAAAAGTATTTTATTTATATTGCGAATTACATCCATGTTAACTTATTTAGTGAATCAATGGAGAGATTTAAACGATCTATTATTCTAAGAATATTTTTTGGGAAAGATGATAAAAATCAATTAACCATCTGCAAAAAATCATAATAAGCACCTCCAAATACAAATAATCAACACATAAATATTTCTTACATATTGATCAAAACATTGAGATAATAATGAAAAAACCCAAACCCAAAGTTGCTAATAATCTTTCACCAGTAGAGTCTATAGCATTAGAGAAACTACGTAACAATAAAGATACCATATTTAAAAAAGCAGATAAAGACAGTGATGTCTGTATTCTAGAAATAGTTCAGCATGTGAATTAACCAACTATTGAAAGATGTTAATACTTTTAAACTCATGCTACATAATCCAATGGCAAGAATACTAAACGAGGCTAATACTCGTGTTCATAGATAAAACTACAGCAAACAATTATCGCCCTGATACTCCTTGTCGTTGCTCAATTTTTTAAGGTTTACTGAAAACTCACAAAAAGAGGTGTCGATTTTTAGACCAAACTTTTTGATAATAATTATATCATACTTTTCAACGAAAAAATTACACCTCAGTCTAAATAAAAACAGTTAAGAGGGTAAATACAAAACGAAAATAACAAACCATCATTTTTTTTGCTAAGAAAATAAAAAAAATAAAAATGTAAAATACATAACTGAAATAGACTTTTTCACACAATCTATTAAAGCTGACAAAGCTTTTAAGTCCAACTAACTCAATAACATACTCAGCCATTAAAGAAATACTTTTTAAAAACTTTGGACTATCAGTTAATTCGCATGAGTTTGAAAATGTGTGTAAAAAAAAAAAATGTTAAAAATGCACGAAAGAAAAACATTTCAAGAAAAATAGATATTTATTTATACTTTTACAAGTATCAAAATCAAATCAAATCAAATATATTCTGAATATAGTTGCTATATATATCAAGGATATTTACAAATAGTAATTTGTACTAATATAAAGTAAACACCTGTCAGACTAAATAAAAATAAGATTGAGATATTAACAATAATTATAATACAAGTAGGAATAATAAAGTAATAGTAGTGATTATAGTTATAAAAAAAAATAATAGTAGCGATTATAAAAAGTATATACTATAATAATAGTAATAATAATAATAATAATAATAATAATAATAATAATAATAATAATAATAGTAATAACAACAACAATAATAATAATATTAATTATGATAAAAATATAGTAATAATAACAACAATAGTGATAAAGAGAATACTATTGAAACATTTCAGTTTAAAATAATAAATTTAATAAATGATATTCAAATTAGTAATATACCACAATAGAATAGAGAAAAAATAATAGATGAATAGAAGCTGTGCGTTAGGGTTATAAATAATAAGTTGTAAAAAGATATAAAGATTTATAAACAATATTTTTCTAAAAAATGGTTAAAGAGAGCAGTTTTAAATTTTGAGAATGATTTATAAGATTTTATTTGGGAAGGGAGATTGTTCTAGGTTCGTATGCTTTTATGTTGTATGGATTCATAGCCGTAATGAACAGTTTGGTATTTAGGTACAGATAATTTAAAGTTGAAAGCAGATCGTAGAATATATTTACAATTTTCCCTATAACTAAAAAAGTTGATAAATGTAAGAGGTAGGTTATTATGATTTTGGTTCCAAACAAATAGGCAATTTGATAGCTGAATAAGGTCACACAATTTAAGGACTTTAGATAAAAAATAGAGTATGCTACAGTTCGAATTAGTATGTTGGAAATAAATTAATTTTAGAGCTTTGTTTTGAAGATAAGTTAGTCTTAAAAAAGCAAGCTGCTTAGATTGTCCCCAAACTTGGCAAGCATATCTGAGATCATATATATCAAAAGATATATATATATATATATATATATATATATATTATATATATATATATATATATATATATATATATATATATATATATATATATATATATATATATATATATACATATATATATATACATATATATATATATATATATATATATATATATATATATATATATATATATATATATATATATATACATATATATATATATATATATATATATATATATATATATATATATATATATATATATATATATATATATATATATATATATATATATATATATATATATATATACATATATATATATGAAGTAGAAGACGGTTACATAACAAAACTGTGTTTCAAAACAAAGAAAATCATTTACAGAACTGTTTGATAAGATGAAAAAGGAAAGGACACAGGAACTTGTCAATTATATAAACAACTTAATCACACATGTATGCCCAGAGTTTAATGTTAACCAGTTATTGGCTTATATAGAATTACACAAAATAATAAGACTATTGCTCATGTTGACACTTTTACACCATATGGAAACTTTTAAAGCAATTCATAGCTTTAATGCCATAAAATGAAATTTCTTTTTGCTTCATAAGACATCTGTTTTCCAACAACCAAAACAAAATTACTTGAAGAAAAAAAATGCATCCTACAATTAGTCATGTTTTAAATGCAAAAGGTGTTTATGTTCAATACAAAGAACTTGTAACAATAACAATTTATTCTGTTTTGAATATAACTAAAGATTCTTTTATTCCAGTGGAAGGTGATGAGTATGTTTTAAGGATGGCTGCAAATCAAAAACTACTGAATAGACAGATATTATGAGAGTTGGTGAAGGATTCCTGATTGATCAATCATCAGAAGAAATATGGATGTTGTACAAAAAACTAGTTAATGAGGATTATTTCTATTTTTTCTATTAAATTATTTCTATTAAAATTGGAGATTTTGCAACACAAAAGGACTAAAAAACCACAAATCAGTAAAACAGGACCACTTGATAAACAAATACATAATGCAAGACCCCATCTTATTGTTAAAATAACAGAAAACACTGCACTGGGATTTGATATGTGTTGCAGCTCTGGTGAGTATGAAGGGACATCTACAACAGGGTCACAAAGTTGTAAACTTCAAGAATTAATATCTACTAAAAAAGATTTATACACTATTATGTTACAGTGTAATACGTATAGTTTCTTGTCAACATGAAATTAAATTTTACAAATTTCAAGAGCTATGTAATAATTCTACACTTAACATTATTAAAAATATGCCAATGGAAGCAAATTAAACACTCTTCATGGAGTTCTTCATCACTCAGCTGAACTAACTATTCTTAATGATGGTTCTTGCCTCTGCAATTTATCTGAAGAAGGTCTAGAAAAAAACAAAGATATAAGAAACTATTTAAAGTTTCTTTCTTGTAAGACATCTAGAACAGCTTACAGATGTGACGAGTCTTTTAGAGAGGTCTAATCCTTGTGTTTTAAGAGGAATTATCCCTTTGCATCCTCCAAAGTTATGTCAAGATTGTTATTCAAATGAGCATACAAGCAGATATCAGGAGCATACAAGCAGATATCAGGAGCATACAAGCAGATATCAGGAGCATATAAGCAGATATCAGGAGCATACAAGCAGATATCAGGAGCATACAAGCAGATATCAGGAGCATACAAGCAGATATCAGGAGCATACAAGCAGATATCAGGAGCATACAATCAGATATCAGGAGCATACAAGCAGATATCAGGAGCATACAATCAGATGTCAGGAGCATATAAGCAGATATCAGGAGCATACAATCAGATATCAGGAGCATACAAGCAGATATCAGGAGCATACAATCAGATATCAGGAGCATACAAGCAGATATCAGGAGCATACAAGCAGATATCAGGAGCATACAATCAGATATCAGGAGCATACAAGCAGATATCAGGAGCATACAAGCAGATATCAGGAGCATACAAGCAGATATCAGGAGCATACAAGCAGATATCAGGAGCATACAAGCAGATATCAGGAGCATACAAGCAGATATCAGGAGCATACAAGCAGATATCAGGAGCATACAAGCATATCAGGAGCATACAAGCAGATATCAGGAGCATACAAGCAGATATCAGGAGCATACAAGCATATCAGGAGCATACAAGCAGATATCAGGAGCATACAAGCAGATATCAGGAGCATACAAGCAGATATCAGGAGCATACAAGCAGATATCAGGAGCATACAAGCAGATATCAGGAGCATATATTTTCAAAACCAAAGAGATATTTTGATGATATGTTTGAAAATTTTATATATGATTAGTTATGCAGTCCTCCATGAGTTTTCTTTGTCACTAGTCATGACATGAGTTTTCTAGGATTTCTTATTCACTAGTCAAGGTTCCAAAACTTTGCTTTCTGGATCCACTGTGAGAGAAATGGCAATTCTTGTTTTTGATCTCATATTTCAAGGAATCGCTTAAAAAAAAGGTTGAAGATTTCAAGAAAATGGAGTTCAATTGGAGGAAATGCATCAATAATAAGTTCAGATTTTATGTAGAGATTAATCAATTGAGGGTGGAAACCATTTGAATAATTCTTAGCAGATTAAAAAACAGCTGTTTTAGCTGTTTTAGAATTTTTAAAAACAGTTAACAGCTGTTTTAATGTGTTTTAAATTTGGAAAAAAAATTTTTATGTACTCTTTTTTTTATCTTATTTATTTTTAGGTGCCCAAAAAGTCCTTATGTTCTTATCACAGAACACCGCAGAAGAGCATTTACAATGAAGTTCACGCCTCCATCCTTACCGATGTTATAAAACTTGCCCAAAGGTGGAGTTGAACCTCAGATCTCTAGTTTCTGAGGCAAGTGCATCAACCACTGCACTACAGCTGCTCAAAAGGTACTCTTAAGTGCTCTTACCGCTGCTCTTAAGTGCTTAATACACGAGAGGAGCATTTATTAACTTTTCCAAATTTTTCCCACTTACCTCAAGCTTATTAAGATCCTCCCCTCACTCCTTTATTAATTTTAACTTGTTTAAAAAAAACGTCTCAAAATTAAATTAAAAAAACTGTTGTCTAATCTAAACAAATTCTGTGACTTTTTAAAGGTAGTTGTAGAATTTCCTTAGCACTTTATTATTTTGTTACTACGCTGACACTGTTCTTCCAACTCTTTTGTAATTGGATTTCCTCGTTTTGCTGTGTATGTCCAGACTGACATTGCTAAGAGTATGAATAGAAAATAAGGATATTAAGTAGCCATTTTATCCACCGTTAAAAAAAAATTCATAACTGCTAACTATGTAATTTATAAGTTAATGTAAATAAGAAACAAGAAGCCCTAACTTAATAAACTCCTAAGAAACTTTTAGTAAAATAGAACTATTAAAATAAGAAGCTCCCTAGTACTAGCCTGTGTGCTTAGTTTTTTTTTTATAAAAAAGTGCTAACTGCTAAACTAAAGTTATGCATTATATAAAGTTATGCATTATATCTATTATGTATTACTTATATATATTATTATGTATTATATCCAAAAACTATTTTTTAATTTTTATTAAACAAGAAAATCAAATCAAATTACCATTATAATTGTTTTAATAAACTTGATGTTAAAGAAACTTTTTTTTTTAGCAATTGTTAATTTTTATTTTTGTTTGTAACATTTATTATTATCTGAAAATGTTTGAATAAAAAATTTTCAGGTTTGAATGAAACTTTATGCAGTTAAAACTTGCTACAATATTGAAATAAAATTTAACAGCATTTTAATTTTTTTTTTTTTTTTGAATTCAAAGAAACTTCAGATTGGCATTCCATATATGTGGAAGTTTTGCATTCTGATGAAGTCGAAAATTTGACTACGCCAGCAAACTCATAAAAAAAGTTCAAGTTTTTAGAATTTATTCACTTTAATTTTAATTAAAACAGAAAATATAAATAAAACAGTAAAAACTGTCATTTAAAAAACAGCTGTTTCCTATTTTTAATTTTTCTTAAAAAAACAGTTGTTTTACTGGTACTGTTAAACAAAGTACAGAAACTTTAATCATATGAAATTATGTGACTAGAGTATCGACCATTTCTCTCAGAAACTACTTGTAAAAAATGTAAAAAATTTGTGAAATTATGTAAAATGTAAATATGTTACATGATGTTAATCATGTCACATGATCTTCAACTTGAATAAGGCTCAATAGTGAAAAATATTTCATATGTTTTAGACATATACCACAGCAACAATCAGCTATTTTTTTACACCACCATTCATGAAGAGCTTGATTACAGCCATGAAGAGCTTGATTGCAGACATGATGCTCCCCGAGTATAACTTTCCTTGGAACTTGCGTTAATTACACTAATTACATTAATTACAACTTGTGTTAATTATACTAATTACAAAATTACAATGTAATTTTCAAGAATGAACCACCTCCATCAATTCCAAGATTGCCTAAAAAAATGTGATATAACCCCTCTTGTTGAAAGTACCTAGTGGACCAGGTTATTCAAATTTCTAAATTTTCAATTCTTTGTCTTAAATGACAAAATTTGACATGAAAAAATCTCCTTATTTTTTATTTTTTCAAGAAGTTGTCAAGTTTTTTTTTGTTTTGCTTGTACAGCTTTTTTTTCCATTGAGACATTTAGAGCTGTAAGCTTTTTCACACCAACATTGGAAAGATTTTGTACTTTTTGAATTTGAACGATTGTTATAGCAGTAAATAACAGCTGCTTGTACTTGACTAAATGCCCTGGCATAAGTAAGAAAAATTTACTTCAACTTGGTTGAATAAGTTTGACAGTATCTCCTGGAGAGTCACATTTTTTAGAGATCAAATTAGCTGCTATTTGTTCAACACACTAAGGGTTCTCTAAGAAAAGTTTCTATACATTTTTCTGCAATCATATATATGTCCTTTTGCAAGAACTGACAAAGACTACATCTTTTTTTTTTCACAGCTGGCTGGGATGATGAAGGGTTGTGAATGGTAACTTTGATATGGTCAGATTTTTCAGTGGTCACAAAACATTCATCTTAAATCACAAGTCTGTGGGAAATCTTAAATCTTAATGTCCCACAGACTTGTGATGTCTGTAAAATGTTATTTAAACATCTTGTGGGTATCTGTGCCCATTGGGTTCAGGGTAAACTCTTGTATTTTGATCCAAGATACCAAGCTCAATCTGTTGCAAATCTTCTTTCTTTGACTTTGATTTGGCCACCCTACAAATTAAATGCTGGCAAGCACCAGAATATCTAGTAGATGGCTTAGAGATGATCAACTTTAAATTGTACAATTGTGGTATCTGTTCATTAATACTACCATTATCAAGTCACTATAGTTTGTTTCTACATGGAAAAGTTCATTGAAATCAAGATTACACTTGAAAGTATTCTTAAATCTTTCAATCAAAAAATCCCTTAAAAAGCAATCACTTTTCTTCAAAATAATTTTTTGCAATCACTGTAAGTTTTTGCTGCATAAGGCATTTTTTGACAAATACAATTAAGTCGGTCTTTAACAAAAAAGTCAGTTCATTTGTTTATTATTTAAGTTCACTTTTAATCAATTAAAACTGTTTACTCAATCAAAACAAGTAAAAAATAAAAAATAAAAAACAAATAAAGTTAAGAGCTATTTAAAAGAATTAAGTAACTAATCAATTTATAAAAAAACCCTGAAAACATTTTTTTACAATATAAAAAAAATGATTTTTTTTCCCATCAAATTTTAATTTTTTTTTTACATATTTAAATTTTTAGTTCATTAAATTTCAATTTATATATATATATATATATATATATATATATATATATATATATATATATATATATATATATATATATATATATATATATATATATATATATATATATATATATATATATATATATATATATATATTTGGGCATCTTCTTTTTAGACAATCTTTGCAATTTTCATTGCCATTACTCAATAATAATTTCATTTTTCCTATCAGAAAAAAAAAATAAACCTCAAGTTTTTCAAATTCTTGAACTAAATTTTTATTATCTTTAGTTCTTCGATCAAGCTGGTCCATCATTTCAGTGTGTAAAACTAATAACCTAAAAATATTTTGTTAAAAAAAGTAAAAAAAAGTTAATATTTCATAAAAAGTATTTTGTTAATCTGTAATAAAAAATCAGTTTAATTAACATTTATTTCTAAAAGTAATAGATAAAAATGAATATAATAAAAAATTAATATTTAAATGATTTTCTTATGACTTTTTTTTTTACAAGTAGCATAAAACTTTTTAATATTTTAAAAATATTAATATATTTTTCACCCATTATTTTTTTTTTTTTTTTTTTTAACATCTTCACTTCCAACAAGGCTGCAAGCAACCACTATAAGAGTTGGAAGTTACTGGAAGAGAAAAGACTAAATCTGTAGAGCAAGATAACGATTGACTGATGACTTAAAAGATTGCAAATTATATGAATCAGGAAAGCAAGATGAAGGAAGCGAATTCCAAAGAACTGATGTTCGAGGAAAAAAACTAGAAGAATAAGAGTTTTTGAAGCACTTAGGAACAGTCACAGAAAAAGGATGAGACTTAATTGAATGGCGGGTAACACGAGAATGAATTTTAGTAGATGGCACAAGAGACGCTAGCTCTTTAGAGCAGTGCCCATTATAGTATTTGTAGAAAAGAGAAAGAGAAGCAACATTACGACGATGTGACAAAGGTTGGAGATTGGCTGCCAGAGCAGGTCCAACTATGTTTACAATTCGTTTTTGCACCTTGTCTAAAAGAGAAAGAGCATCATTAGAAGATCCGCCCCAGATGTGGCAACAGTATTCCATACAGGGACGGATTTGAGATTTATAGAGATAGAGAATAGAATCTGGAGTAAGAAAGTGTCGAGCTCGATAAAGAGATGCAACCTTAGCAGATGCTAATTTTGCAATGGATTTGATATACGGTTTAAAAGAAAGATCAGAAGTAAGAGTTAATCCTAGAAGATGAATGGTAGATGACTCATCTAGTACATTACCATTCATAAATATAGGAAGATCTAAATTATTACGATAACAATTGGCCGAATAAAATTGAGTTTTATCTGAATTAAAGTTCACCAGCCACTGTGAGCCCCATGCTGTAGCAGAAGTGAGATCCTTTTCAAGCTCAGATACCCCCTCCAAGCAATCAGAGAGTGTAGGCTTCTTATCATGACAAGAGTAAATGGTAGTGTCGTCAGCGAATAATGCCACCTTAGATGTGAGAATATCTGGAAGATCGTTAATGTAAATTAAAAAGAGTATAGGGCCAAGGATTGAACCTTGAGGAACCCCTGAAGTTACAGGATGTGAAGAAGAGTGTTGTCCATCGAGGACAACTTTTATACTACGATTGGAAAGAAAGGACTCAATAATCTTAAAGACGTTACCAGCTACACCATAAGAAGAAAGCTTATGGAGAAGACCAGCATGCCAAACTTTATCAAAAGCTTTAGAAATGTCAAGTGCGATAGCCTTAACCTCTCCACCTCTATCTAATGCACGGTAAAACCTTTCGGTTATTACTGTTAGCACATCAGCTGTAGAACGAGAAGACCGAAATCCATATTGATGATCAGAAAGTAAGTTATTTGATTCAAGATGAGAGATTAAGTGTTTGTTGATTAAAGATTCAAAAACCTTGCTTATGACAGGAAGAAGACTAATGGGACGGTAGTTAGATGAATCAGATCGCTCTCCGGAATTTTTGAAAATAGGGATAACAGATGCTGCTTTCCAGCATGATGGAAAACAAGACTCTGATAAGCACTTGTTAAATAGTTTAGAAAGTATGGATGAAAGCTCCGGAGAACACCTCTGCAAGACTACAACAGGAATGTTGTCAGGACCACAAGCTGTTGAAGAGTCTAAGCAGAAAATTACTTTAGATACAGAAGCTGAAGTGATGCGAATGTCAAGCAAGGGATCAACCTGTTTGACGGCTATGTCAGGTAAAACGCAACTAGTGGAATCAAGAGATGATATTGATGAAAAGTTCTTAGCAAACAATTCAGCTTTGTCTTTAGGTGAGGTGACAAAGTCTGAACCATACAAGAGAGAAGGAATAACAGATTTGCCCTTATTATTGATACTGTTAAAGATTCTCCAGAAGTCTCGAGAGCCTAATTTTTGTGATGAGATACGAGATTTAATGACCTGGGAATAGCGAGCTTTGGCGTCAGACAAAACCTTTTTACAATGGTTTCTGGCGATAGTGAACAGATGTCTGTTTTCTGGAGAATTGTTTTGCTGATAGATATGGAAGTAACGGTTTCGATTAGAAACTGCTGCAGCGCAATGTGAGGAAAACCAAGGAGAAGAGTGAGGCTTGACCTGGAATCGTCGAGAGGGAATAAAAGATTCCATGCCAGCCTGAATCCACGAAGTTATGTAAGAAGCACATTTGTCAGCAGGAAGACGAAAGATTTCTACCCAAGGGCCATCACGAAGAAAATCACGGAAAGAGTCCCAGTCAGCTTTAAGGTAGTTGTATGTGGTACGATGATAGGGGGATTCTGATGAAGTAGAAGAATTTGATAATAGTTTTAGAGAGATCAAACCGTGATCAGAAGTACCTAAGGGTGAATGTGGAGAAATTGAGCACTGACTAGGATCCAAAACAATACATAAGTCGAGTAGAGAAGGTAAATGATTAGGGTTGTCTGGAAAACGAGTTGGAAAGTTGACTATTTGAGTTAGAGATTGAGAAAGGCAAAAGTTGAGGGCCTTAACGCCAGCAGAGTCACTGACACTAGAGCCAAGCCAATCAGTGTGATGGGCATTAAAGTCACCAACAACGACGATATTGGCCAATGGATAAAGAGAGAGGGCTTGGTCAATTTGATCAGAAATAACATCAAGAATAGTGCAATCTTGGGATGAAGGAGAGCGATATAGAACAAAGAGAAAGGTGATAGAGTGAAGTTGTGCTAAACGAAAGCACATAAATGAATAGTCTGTAGATTCAAACCTAGTTTCACGACAAATGGGTGAGTTCTTACGAATGTAGATGCCCAGGCCAAGCATGTGATTATTGGAGTCTTTACGAATTAAAGGAAGATAACCATCAACACTAAGATCACAAGATGGGACAGCCGAACTCAAATTAGTCTCACAAAGAGCAAGTAGGTCTGGTGAACTTTGCAAGAGATAAGACTCAACAGAAGAAAAGTTACTTCGAAGACCACGAATATTAGTAAATGATAGGTTTAGAGAACTTGGTGATGACGATGGTTTTTTGTGTTTTTTAGTTTTAGGTACTTTAGTCATTTTAAATTTATAAAGAACTTGACTCAAGTATAGATAGTACTCAGTACACTATTTAACAACTAAGCAATAGCCTCATTACTATTAATAAACCCTAAGCCGTAACAAAGGGCTCCAAATGTGGCCTCTGCAATGCACACCAAAAGTACAAACAGGGACACCATCCATGCGCAACATGGCACTGTTAGTACTCTGATATTTTTCGGCTGTTGATGGAATCAGCCTCTCTGAGAGCTACCACAGAGTTCGGGAAACCTGACTACCAGCCGGCCTCAGAACCATAAAACTGAGTTTTAGAGCTGTACCCTCATTAGGAGATAATAGAATGAGTTGCCCAGTCATAAAAATAGAGACACAAGCAATACCCACGCATTGAGTCAAGAAGATCCAGCGTTCAACATCCTAAACTGGAAACAATGTATTAAAAATACATCTGCGCCAGCCTAATAGATGAGGAAGGGGTGCGAGGCTGGTCAACAGATAGAATCTGTTTACCCCTTAAGTCTTTGCCTAGGAGGCCTTCTACAAGACAGCAGCTGGATGCATGTAACATCTGCCCAAGATGAGTATTTTTATCGAGACACCATCTCTAGCCTTTACTCAACCAAGAGCCCCAAGGCAGGGGGTGTTTTAATTCGGAGTTAACTTCTCCTAGCCTTTGCCTAAAAAAGCGTATCCTACAAGGCAGCAGGAAATGGAGCAGGTTGTACTGGGTTACATGTTACCAGTAGCAGGAAAACCATTGTTTTACTAATTCATTTTTTACTTAGCTTAAATACACGCTGAAAAAAACAAGAACAAAAAAAGTGTTAATAAAAAGTTTTTGTCTATTTATTACCACTTATGTGATAATAAATTAACAAACATTGATGTCTAATATACAGAACTATTCAGGTCTAATTAAAAATATTTACTCTTATAAATCTTATATATAATTGTCTCTATGAGACATCTTTTTTTTTTTTTTTTTAATTCACCTCCTCAAGGCCGAGAAGGCCACTGCAGACGAGGAGGCTACTTATTTGTGGCTATAACCCTCTCTCAACTCTATAACTCCGAAACACGAACCTTGACGAACAAGGCCGCTACGCGGAGAAACGAGTTGAGCGCGGTACTACCAGGGACGTGGTGGGGATCGAACTCGGAACCACTCGTTTATGAAGCGAGCGCTCTACCACTACACCACTACCGCATTATCTACTTAAAAAAATAGGAAAAATAACATGTGGTTCCTTTTTTTTTGTTTGTTTAAATAAATACATAGGTTTAGCCACAGCTAACATGGATAATATCTATGTATTAGTATGTATACTACTACTTTTGCCAGAATAATGGACAAGTTAGCAAAACACTTGCTCAGCTGTAAAAAAAAAAAACAAGTTAGCAAAACACTTGCTCAGCTGTAAAAAAAAAAAACACTTGCTCAGCAAGTGTTTTGCTAACAACAAGCTATTATATAATTAAAAGTCTCAATTTCTCAATTTTCTGGTGAATTAGTTTGCTATTAACCATTAAATATGATTTTAGCTTTTTCTTATAAATAGCTGCAATTTTTTCATTACCAATGATATTTGGAATTGAATATTTGACATAAAATGATACTCTAAAGTTTTGGACTATAATGAGATAACGCTCAATTACCAAATTTATGTAAAACAGAACAGAAACAATTTTCTTTTTAATCCATTTTTTAAATAGTTATGTCATCATAACTATTTAAAAAATGTCATCAAGTTATGTGTTTTACGAGTTCAATTAAATGCTAAACATTCACAAACATTGACATGCAGATGAACAAATGATACAACTTCTCACCTTTAATTATAAGTCTCAATAAAATGTATTTTAAATAAAAATTCAAATGAACTAATGAACTAAATAAAATGTTCTCAAGATTTTGGATTTTTATAAAGAAAACAAATAAATTAGGATAACTCAAACATAACATGTTTGAGTTATCCCTTATGCAAAGGCAATGACTTTATTCCCTAATACTTAGACAAGAAAATAAATTGCTGTTTTAATTATTAAATATATTATTTGAGATTTTAAACATAACAAAATTTTAATGTGAAAAAAGTTCTTTCTCGACTTATTCTAAACTGATTATACTGAGTCAATGCTCGCCTTTTATTACGTTGAAATTATTCAATTGCATAATTTGTAATAACGAAATAAGTTAAAAAAAAAATAGCATTGCTTCTGTTGTCATTGTTACGAAAAAAGTTCCTTCGGGAGATTATTATATATTAACACTCGTTCACAATGTCATTTAATGATTGCAAAATAAGCAACTCAATCGTTTGACAATAAAATTTTCTTTCATTTAAAAAAAATAAACAACATATTTTACTAATAAATAGCAATCGTTTTCGTGTTTTCTTGCGTATCAATACATTCGAACATTAAAATCAATACATTTAAACATTTAAATGCATTTACGAAACATTTTTAAAATGTTTATAGTTCTAGCGTGAATTTTAAAGTATGACTGACTGATTAAAGTCATAAACAAATTTTTACATTAAAAGGTCCTTTTATTTTCTTTAAACATTAATCATTTTCTTTTTGATTTGATTTTTCTTATTTATTTTATTTTTATAGCTTAAATAACTACCACCCTAAAAAAATAAAAATATAAAATATAGGTAAAGTTTTTTTTTAATAATATACATTAATTTTTTAATTTTAAAGCACAAACAGATTTCTGTTATTTACTTTAAGATTGCTTGCATTTTTGCAGTATTTTCGTTTAGCTTTGTTTTGGCACGAATTCTTGAAACGCATAATAATAAAACGTGGTCAGTTAGTCAGAAAAATTTATTCTATGCGTGGACAAACAAGGCGTGCGACCGCACGCCTTTCCTGGGAAAGCCTGATTCTACCTAATGATTTTTTTAACAAACTGCCTAAAAAAGGTATTGATAAAACCAAATAATTTGAAATCTTTTAATCAAATTTCGAATCAAAACTGGAACAATATAAACTTCAATCAAATCTAATGATCTAAAATCAACCTGATCTATGATTCTTTTTTAAAAACATTTAAATTCATTTATGACGCAAACTTTTCTATTGTAAAATAATCCTTAACACCAAGGACGTATTATGTTCTTGATTAATAAGGACTTAAAATCATCAAAAGTGAAACTGTATATTAAATATTTAAAATATAAATCAGTCAATGATAAAAATAACTACTTAACTTATAAAAATAATTTCAAAAAACTCTGCAACAATGCAAAAAAAAAATTACAAGTGAGTTTATAACATCACCTAGTTTAACTTTAAATTTTTCAAACCTAACATACAGCGGATTTGAAGTAGCGTTTAAATCATTAAAACGGAATTAGGGCTGATTGCATCAATGAAATATTAAAATTGATTGTATCAATGGAAATGTTTGGGCGGAAATACATTAATGGAAATGTTATGATAGATTCCTTTGACATTTGAAAGATATACTCTTTAAAATTTGTAAAGCCTCTATTGCTCAAGGACCTTTTCCAGACTCTCTAAAAATAGCAAAAATTACTCCTATTTATAAATCAGGTGACCATTGTAACAAATTATCATCCTATTTCAGTTCTTCCAGTTTTCTCTAAAATACTTGAAAACATAATGTATAACAGAATCTACAATTATTTTGTTGATACTAAACTTTTATATAATAATCAATTTGGCTTCCAGAGAAACTGTTCTACTGAACACGCCATTGTCCAACTAACACGTAGCATTTTTGATTCTTTTAATTCTTTTAATTCTTATTATACCCTAGGAGTATTCATCGATTTGTCTAAAGCCTTTGATACTGTTGATCACGACATTTTATTAAAAAAAATAAAAACTCTATGGTATTAAAGATAAATCTCTAAGCTGGTTCAAAAGCTATCTTAGTAATCATAAGCAGTTTGTTAATATCCAAGACTCTTTTTGCCTTTATTAATGAATGTAACATGTGGTGCTCCACAGGGATCAATAGTTGAGCTTATTATTTTAAATATACATAAATGACCTCAACAAAGCCTCTAACTTAAACACTTTAATTTTTGCTGATGACACAAACCTATTCCAATCTCATTAAAACATAAATACACTTTTTGATAATATGACACAAGAATTAAATAAAATCTCATATTAGTTTAGGAAAAACAAATTGTTCCTCAATATTGATAAAACCGACCTCTTCATTGATAATACAATACTAAAAAGGGAAAAAGTTACAAAACTTCTCGGAATTCTTGTAGACGAAAACTTATCCTGGTAACAAGAAACCAATAATATCTCCTTGAAAGTTGCTAAAAGTATTGGAATTATATATAAAATTCGACAAATTTTAAATAAACAACAATTAAAACTATATTATTTGTTAATCCACTGCCATTTAAATTATGCAAATATTGTATGGGAAAGAGTGCATAAAACTAAATTTAAATCTTTTTATCAGCATCAGAAACACACAGCTCGCTTAATTAATTTTGTAAATTGTTTTTCAAATTCAAAACCACTTCTGAGAGAAATGAAAGCCTTAAATGTATACAAACTAAATGTTTATTATATTTTAAGTTTCATGTTTAAATGTAAAAATCATTTATCTCCTGATATATTTATAAACCTTTATAATGTAAAATCCATAAACAAATACAATCTTTGCAATGGAAAAAATCTACAAGAACCTTTCTGCCAAACTAAATTTGAACAACTAATTATTTTTTACCGCAGTCCTTATTTATGGAATAAAATAGTTTTGCCAAATTTTGATTTGTCTTTGAAATGGACTTTAACTTCTTTCAAACGAAAATTAAAAGAAGTTATCTTTTCAGCAGAAAATATTTTTTCTTGTTTTTAGTTCTTTTGTTTCATATATTTTATCGAGTATATTTATATTTTAAATGCACAGTTGTATATAGTTTATGTTAATTTATTTTTATTGGTTAATTTGATTTTATTATTACTATATTTGATATTGTAAAGGGCTTCATGATAAGATCATATGATCTTCTGGAAGTCCTGACAATTATATTTGTAATAAAGCTGTTCTCTAATTGTAACTTTTTTTTATTGAAGGCAAATAAATTTACAAAAAAAAAAAAAAATTAAACAAATATGTACAATAAATACACATGAGGTATAAATATAGAAAATATTTAACTTTCCTTATTTTTTTAAAACAGCGCATTAATAAATGATACATTGAAAAGTTAATAATAATCACAATAATAAAGCTATAATTAAAACATACTTTTCTAAATTTGCATTACTCTTCTCTTGATTTAATGATTCTATGCTTTTTTTTTCAATGTCTTTTGAACTTCCAAAACCTATAAACATGATATATATATAAATATATTTTTCATTATCTTTTGAGCTTCCAAAGCATATAAACATGATATATATTTTAACAAATTTGTCTTTTAAACTTCCTAAGCCTATAAACACGATATATATTTTAACAAATTTGTCCAAAAAGATTTAACTATCCGTTATGGTAAAAACCCTTTTATGCTGTATAGTACATTTATTATTAGAAAACATTTTAGTTCAAAAAATAACATACATAAAAGAATAAAAAAACCACAGGATAAAGTTCTTCTTAAGTTTTTAGAACAGCCTCTATTCATAGTGGCATTGAGGCAATAAGAGACTCACAATATTTGGGTATTATTTTAAGACACCATCCTTTCATTATGGCTTTTTTTAAACCTGCTAGTGAGGTTAGATTCTGTTTGGAAACTTCTGTTTTCAAGGTTATACAATATTTTTTTTATTGGGGTTTAAATTGTAATAAATAGCCTGACCATATGCCAAAAATGTTAATAGCGTTTTTTAAATTTAAAATTAATTAGGCACATTGTTCTTCAAAATTTTGAAATAATTTGCAAGTAATTATTCATAATTGCTTAACAGAAAGTGTAACATATTGTAGATTGAAGCATAAGATTTGTGGCAAATATTGTGTACTGCAAATTGCTTAATTTGTCTTTTATTTGAAAACATGACACATCGCCACATTTTAGCAGTCCAATTCTTGTTTTCTTTGCAATATTATGGCTTTATATTAGCTTTGTTTTAAGTTTTGTTAGAAACAATGAGTATGATGTTGTTACAAGGCAGTGAAAAAATACAATAAATTTAATAAGAAATATTAGGATTAAATGCATTTTCATTTTAAAATCCTAATTTATTTTTTCAAAATATTCAAAATTTTACTAAAAATATTATATACATAATATTGAATAATTTGAACTGGACTTTTATTTATTTATGTTAGCAGCAAGTTTAGATGACTCTTTGTTAGTGCTTTTCCCATTTTTTTTAATTTAATCTCTTTTCTTATTTTTCATTTTTTTAAATCAATTTTTTTATTTTTCATTAGTCATCAAATCTTTGTCTTTTCCTTTTTTTTTCTTGCAACCAACAAGATTTAAATGATTGCGAATTATAAAATCTGGAAGTATTTCTGGTCTCCAAATTCTTAGTTTATTAAAAACCATGAACATTGTTTTAATCAAACAATCAATTTATCAGAAAAATTAACAAAAAAAGAAAACAATAAATTTACATATGTAATTGTAAATTTATTGCTTCGTAAGTAATGTTTAAAAATGGTAATCCTGCAGTTAAAATACTCTCTATTGTTACTAGGTTACACTCTCTATTGTTTTTTAAACAATATAAAGTATAAATAGCACTTTAGTAAGAATAATAATAGTAGTTAATAATAATGTTTAAAAAATTTTTTTTTACAATAACAAGATTTAAAAACTTGTTATAATCTATAAAAAGACTACATAGTTGCGTCACGTCAAAGACAACTTCTTATTATCGAATACAGGATAGGAGCTATTATTTTTAGAACCAATATTTATATTTTAAAATAATAAGTGTAATGTTTTAAAAGTTATAAAAAGAAGGTTTAAAGGGTTTACTTCCCTAAGGTTAAGGGATCAATGGAGTCAAAGAGACATTTAAGCAATTAATCATCATCATCACCACTATCATCATCATCATCCTTATCATCATCATCATTCTCATCATCCTCATCATCATCATCCTCATCATCATCATCATCATCCTCATCATCATCATCCTCATCATCATCATCCTCATCATCATCATCCTCATCATCATCATCATCATCATCATCAAAATTAAATAATCTTAACCTTTTAATTGTTGATTTTTTAACTCATTATAGTCCTTAAGTAACTGTTTATATTTAGATGTAAGTTTGCGATACTTGATTTGCAGTTTTTCATTCTCATGTGTTAGCTTAAAAAAAAACATTTATAATTAAATAAAACCTTTTTAAATAAATGTTCTATTATATTTATAACAAAATATTTGTTATATTATATGATATTATGTTATTGTGTAATTGCAATATTGAGTTATTATCATGTATATTTATATTGTATATTTATATATATTACTTATATTGTGTTCCTTTATATTTTAGATAATATAATAAAAATCTTACTACTAAATTGCTTGTATTAGTCTTGATCGGGTCTACAACAATTTTTTTATATTATCTTATTAACACAAATAGAACTGTAGTTTTTTGTGTTTTTTTCCATCAAACTGAGTACCACGATTGGAGTGAATGCAGGCATGGGTGCCAAAGAGAGAAAAAAGATGTTTTATTACTGTATTAGAGGTGATTTGAGAACAAGGGAATGCAAATGGGTTTCTGGAATACTCATCAATTATGACTAAAAGGTATTTGTTCGCTTTTTTTGAGAGAAGAGGGCCAATAAAATCCATTGCAAGTTTTTCCCATGGTCTAATAGAGCAAGACCAAGCGAGGGTTGAAAAAATTTTAATTTGAGCTCACATCATACCTGACAGTCAGAAATTATGTCTCTAATTTCACTGTAATTTTGATTTTAAGTGGAATATTTGGGTATAGTGTTGCTAAAGATGTGGTGGTTAGCTGGTCTTTTAGTTGTTTAATGGTAGAGATAGCTTCCTCTGAAAGTGGAATATTTTTGCTTATTGAGTCACAAGAATTAGTCAGAATGGTAGTTAGGTTGGTGCAGTTAGGGATACATTTAGCATAGTATGCAAAGAAGCCTATCAAGCTGTTTAATTGTTTAATGTAAGTTGGCATAGGATAACATTGTAGAGCTTGGAACCTTTTGGGATCTGGTTTCAAAGTTCTATTTTCTATTAGGTGTTTAGGAAAACAGAGTGAGGTTTGAGAAAACTTACACTTTTCATTGTTCATTTTCATTCCAAAATCGTTTGCTGCTTTAAATGCTGTGAGATTTTTGTCGTGTTCTTCTTAATTACATCCACATATAATCATGTCATCTAGATATAGGTAAGTTTTTTCTAGTTTGTATTTTGAGACAAAATCATGCATTAAAAGATGGCTACTGCATTTGTGCATCCAATTGGGAGTTTTTTAAATTCATACAACTTTCTGCTTCAAAAGCAGTCAATGAATAATCTTTCATTTTTAGTGGGATTTGGTGGTTAGCACTTTTTAGGTCTATTTTACTAAATATACTGTTTATAGTTACCTTATTTATTATGTCATCTATTCTAGGACAAGTGTAAGAATCCATAGGAGTATGTATATTTATGGTATTGTAGAAGCCGATTACTAGACATGATTTCTTTGATAGGTTTGTGACAAAGCATTGGGCTCTCCAGGGGCACCCAATCACTGTTTAATAGCTAAGTAATTTCACTATTAATAGTGAAATTACTTAGCGTATTCAGATTGCGTCATAATGAAAATGTTGCAAGTAAGTTGAGATGTGTCAATTTCAGGAATAAGTTCGTATAATTTACATTTCATGGAAGATAGGGCAAGGAAGAATTGGATTAATTCACGTTTTCTCCAAATGAAGTGTCAGAGCTGAGTGTTTATTTAAAATGTTTATACCAATAATAAGAGGTGATACTAGCTGTTTTACAACAAAAAGTTTTGTTGAATATGAGTGGTTCCCTATTATTAAAGTATTATTATATTGGTCAATAGATTGTGCAGGTGAATTATCTGCAAAACAGATTGATTTCCTGATATTTGTGTTAAAGTTAAGATTGTTCTCAGACATAAAATTTAGAGATGAATGATAGGTCAGAGCCTGTGTCAATAAGGGCTGGTACTAATATTCCATTAATCATTGCATTTATCAGGCCTGACTTCTTATTTACAGAGGCTAAGATTGTAGCCATACGTAGGATGTTATCTTGGTTGGTGTCATTATTGCACCTGTAGTTTGTTGCCGCACCCTTTATAGATGTGTTTTTTTTTAATGTTATGGTTTTATACTGTTGTTTTGATTTAGTTTGTTACTAGCAGAGTAATGTTTAAGCAGACAGCTGCCATAAACATTACTTGCAAAATGCCATAAAAATAATCAAAGCCTAAGAATGTTAAGACAACAAAAATGGATTTGTACTATGATAAATATTTTCCTAATTTCATTCACTTTTTAAATATTTTCTGTTATTGTGCTTAGAAAAATTAATGCAACAAACAAAAAACATTTTGGTGTTAATAGCATACATTTCCTATTGCATATTAACTTTAACAGTTTTACATGTTCTGACCAGAATTTCTGGTCACTGCATCAAAATATATGAAAATATGAACAAATAAATGAAATATGCAAAAAAGTTGTTAATGTAAGTTAAGCTAGTGTATTCTACAAATAGTTTATTATTGTTCTGTTCTAATTTATTATTGTTCTGTTCTTAAAGAACAGAACAATAATAAATTAGATAAAATCCTTATCTAAATTCTTTTACAGTTTGTTTAACCTTCAGCAGGTTAAGCGGGAAGATGATCATATAAATATATACATATAGGCTTAGACTCTTCTACAGCTTGTGGTTTGGACAACATAACTGTTAAAGTCTTACTTACTGGAAAGTGCCATCTGTTATCTTTTTTTTCAAAAATTCTGGAGAGCCATTTGACTCATCTGAATATCGTCCCATTAGTCTTCTTCCTATCATAAGCAAGGTTTTTGAATCTTTAATTAACAAACACTTAATCTCTCATCTTGAATCTAATAACATACTTTCTAATCATCAATATGGATTTCAATCTTCTTGTTCTACAGCTGATTTGCTAACAGTAATAACCAATAGGTTTTATCGTGCATTAAATAAAGGTGGAATGGTTAAGGCCATTGTTCTTGACATTTTTGAAGCTTTTGATAAAGTTTGGCAAGCTGGTCTTCTCCATAAGCTTTCTTCTTACGGTTTATCTGGAAACGTTTTTAAGATTATTTAATCCTTCCTTTCCAATCGTAGCATAAAAGTTGTCCTCGATGGACAGCACTCTTCTTCTACTCCTTGGCCCTATACTCTTTTTAATTTTTATTAACGATCTTCCAGATATTCTCATTTCTAAAATGGCATTGTTTGCTGATGATACTACCATTTATTCTTGTCATGATAAGAAGCCAACACTCTCTGATTGCTTGGAGGAGGTATTTGTTCTTAAAAAGGATCTCACTTCTGCTACAGCATGAGGCTCACAGTGGCTGGTGAACTTTAATTCAGATAAAATACAATTTTTTCAGCCAATCCTTATCACAATAATTTAGACCTTCCTATTTTTATGAACAGTAATGTACTTGATAAGTCATCTACCCTTCATCTTCTAGGATTAACTCTTACTTCAGATCTTTCTTGGAAACCATATATCAAATTCGTTGCAAATCCGTCTGCTAAGGTAGCATCTCTTTATCGAACTTGATACTTTCTTACTCTGGATTCTATTCTAAATTTCAAATTATAGGCCTTATATGGACTACTGTTGCCATATCTGGGGCGGATCTTTTAATGATGTCCTTTTTCTTTTAGACAAGGTGCAAAAATGCATTGTAAACATAATTCGATCTGTTCTTGCAGCCAACCTTCAACCATTATCACATCCTCATAATGTTGCTTCTCTTTCTCGTTTCTACAAATTCTATAGTAGGTGCTGCTCTAAGGAGCTAGCGTCTTTCAATTAGGTCTCATTCTTTTTCTGTGACTGTTCCTAAGTGTTCCATAAACTCTTATTCCTCTAATTTTTTTCTTCTAGCATCATTCTTTGAAATTCGCTTCCTTAATCTTCCTTTTCTGATTCATATAATTTGCAATCTTTTAAGTTGTCTGTCAATTGTTATCTTGCTCTACAATCTTTATCTTTTCTCATCCAGTAACTTCCAACTCTAATTAGTGGTTGCTTGCAGTCTTGTTGGAAGCAAAGATGTTTAGAAAACATTAAAAGAATTGTGAAATTGGAATTCAATGCACAAGAGGGCCTTTGAAGCCTTGAAATTAAAACCCATCAAAATATTAGCAACTGCTATCTTTATTGACATATAATTCTTTAGTGTCTACATAACTAATCAACCATCAAATAAAGTTACATATGGAATAATTGACTATTACTTATTATTAATAAAGAATTTATTAAAATTACAAAACTTCTTCACACTACTGTATACATATACTATATATATATATATATATATATATATATATATATATATATATATATATATATATATATATATATATATATATATATATATATATATATATATATATATATATATATATATATATATATATATATATATATATATATATATATATATATATATATATATATATATAAATATATATATATATATATATGTATATGTATATATATATATATATATATATATATATTTATATTTATATTTATATATATATATATATATATATATATATATATATATATATATATATATATATATATATATATATATATAAATTGTGTTAGTCTTTCTACAATTAGAGTGCTCAACATTCTTAAAGAACAGAGCAATAATAAATAAGTATAAACACTTATCTAATCTTATCTTCGACAATTTGTTTCACCATCGCCATACTTCCTGATGAACTTACTGATGGTGAAACAAGTTGTCGAAAATAAAATAAGTGTTTTTACTAATTTATATTGATATATATATATATATATATATATATATATATATATATATATATATATATATATATATATATATATACAAATAATTATTATAAATAACTATACTATTAATAATCATTATAAAAAACTATTACTATTATTTTTTTGATACGCATTTATTTTAGGCTGCTTAACTGTTAAATCACCATATATATAATTATACTAGAATTATATAAATATATATGTAATATATATATATATATATATATATATATATATATATATATATATATATATATATATATATATATATATATATATACATATACATATACATATATATATATATATATATATATATATATATATATATATATATATATATATATATATATGCATATATACATATACAAACACATACATACATTATGTATGTATGATACATATAATGTATATATATTATATATACATATAATACATATAATATATGTATATATATATATATATATATATATATATATATATATATATATATATATATATATTTATATATATATATTAGTATATATAATATACAATATATTTATATATATTTGTATATATATATATATATATATATATATATATATATATATATATATATATATATATATATACAATATATATACATACAATATATATATATATATATAATAAATTATATATACTATATATATACTAATATATATATATATATATATATATATATATATATATATATATATATATATATATATATATATATATATATATACATATATATATATATATATATATATACATATATTTGGTTGCTGTCTGATTGTTTTATTTTTTACAAAGCTCTAATTCGAATTAAATTTATACTTTTTAGAAAAGTATAGTAAAATAGTATAAAAATAATTATTACTATATTGTAAACAGTACTTTTTTTTGAGAAATATATTATTTATTGTTACATTGATTGATTGTATCACTTACAGAATAACAAACATGCAGCGAGGGAATGTTCATTTTGTTTATTTTAGATTCTCACGGAATAACGGTGGGTTTTATTTAACCGTAAAACGGGTGTTAAAGGAAAATCATAAAAAAAACAGAAACCAAAATCAACTTTTTGAATGTCTACAAAGTGACAGAAACAGCCACTAAACCAGCGAATCTTTTATTCTAATTAAGTTACACCCAGGCCAGTATTTTGATTTTGGCTGTGACGTTTTCTACTGCAGTAAAATTTACTGCAGTAGATTTGATCATAATAAAAATTATATATGATAAAATGATAATTTTTGTCATGATCTAATCATTATAAAAATAAGCCATGAAAATGTAAAATAAAGTAAGAAAAAATTTCACGGCAGAGAAAGCATACAAAGTGTAATTGAGAAACTTGTAATTGTTTGCCCTTAAATCATGAATAGAGATCAAAAAGAGATCATTTTTGTACTCGGAAAAATGTCTTTGAACATTAATGCGTTCTGCAAAATATGAGGATGAATCTCACATTGTTTTTTCAGAAACAAACTAAGCGTTTTAGTCATTTTTTGAGTGAATTTATCCAAATTTATTCATTTGAAAAAATATTAGGGGGGCGGGGATGAGGCAAATGCCCTGCTTCCCTTTCCCTAAGTGGCTACAGGCCTGTCTATGAAATTTAGTTACATTTTCTCCAATCAGGTGGTGATAGTAGTTAAAAAGTTGGTTTGACATTTATTTTTTGCAAACTTTGCGCGGGTGACTGTGACCTAGTATTACTATATATACTGCAATACTGAGGGTTAACACAATTTTTTTTCAGTATTTATACGTTATTCATATGTTGCTCTAGAAAATGAAAGTTCCCAATTATTACGCATACTTTATTTATTTTTTGAAAAACAATTTTACTTTATTATCATGATTTTACTATACTTACTTAAAACATTTTTAGATTTACCAGTTTAATCAACAGCTTAAGCTGTTTGGTACTTATGTAGTATGGTACTTAATTAAGTACCATACTACGTCAATAGTAGCAACCAAGATCTCTATAGTATGTTTTGTTTCCATTTTTTGTTTAACTTCATTTTTTGATAAATTTTTCTATAAACTTAAATTTAACTTTTGATTCCCTAATGTGTGCTCCTAATGCCTTAGCGTTATAGAAATATTTACAAACTCTTTCCATGGTTTGGTCATCTTCCAAAAAAAAACTAGAACAATTATGAATTTATTTATAAATGTCTTCATAGATTTAAATATTTCTTAGTTTTTATGAAGACCAGAAGTTGGATAGAAAAAGATATATGGAAACAAAAGTTGATGAAGACTACAGTAGGAGAGTACTGGATGCAAACAGGAGAAAGAACAAACTAGATAAGTTGAGAGAGAAAGAATTAGAAAGACAGAAAATCTTAAAAGATATCAATGATGTTTTGTTGTCACCTGACTCCATGACAGAAGAGATTTAATTCAGCTGTGAGGAAGAAAAGTCAAACGAGGACTCTGAAATCAGCGAGGAAGAAGATTTCCTGGATAAAGGTCGGAAACGCAGGTATGGTAATATTTTAATAACATAGTAGTAATTTTCACAATCTAAATCTGTTTTATTGAAAAGTATATAATTATAAACAGGTAGGAAAGTATTTTAAAATGATATCTAGGTAACATTCTTGAGGATAAATCTAGCAGTGAATGTTGAAAAGCTCATTGAATGTACTGCTACTCCAGCAACAAGGTTCAATGTTGGTGTACGACCTCATGTGGCAATTTTAAGTCAAGTATTTAAAGCTGGAGGTATAGAAATTAATAATATGCCGCTTTCACGAAGCACAATTCATGGAAAAAAATTCAAATATGAAGAACTTGAAGGAGACTTGGAGTGGATTTTAATAACTAATCATCTTAATGCAACTACTGATATGGTGTTTTCAAGGAAAGATTATGGTATAGTTTGTAAATTTCCCTCCTTCTTCCTTGGAACGGAAGTACAAGATCGGAAGTTCCATCAACCTGGCGTCTGCCACGAGGCAAGATTTTTACAGTTTGCTATGTTCCATGGTTTTTGAAAAGTTTTTTATGATTTCTGGCTTTCTACAATGATTTGAAAGCTATCCAGACAGCCTATGCATTGAGAAAAGTTAACAAGAATATTGGAATCCCATGCTTCTCAGCATGGGACGCCATACGTGGTACTTAACTACGCAACTCTGTGTTTTGTCCTTTGGTGATAAAGAAGTTCCTTTCAAAACAAGACTAAGAATGTTGTTAGCTCTGATTGAGTTTGAGCCAAATAAATTTTAGCGTTGCAAACCATCAAATCTACAAATTTGAGATACCACAGAGCTACCTGAGTTAATTTTCGAGCAAAGCTACCTTCTCTTCAAACATTTTAAAATATCAAGAGCAAGAATAAAAAAATGGCTCAATAATAGTCTTAATACTATAGATGTTTTTATCCATCCTCAGTTGCTAGATTTTATTGCATGGTTCAAAAACATATCTGTTGTAAATGATGGTGCAGAAAAAAACATTAAACTCATGAAAGATTTCATTTCAGCTACTAGAGATGAAGATCACCTTCAAAATGTACTTTTTGTAATTAAAGAATCTAGAAAATACTTGACTAAGAATATGACTAAAAAGGAGCTTGGGAACTGTTCAAAAAAATGTATTTTTTGAGAAATGTTTCACCGCAAAAAAAATCTTAAATTTGCTAATAAATATTAGTTTTCATCTATTTTTTTCATTTGTATTTTCATATTTATAAATATAAACAATCAAGTTAAATAGTAGAAAATAATTTGAAATAATTTATGCGCATCTATTTGTTTTGTTTTAATTTTCTAAAATGTAAAAAATTGTGTTTTCTATTAATGTTAAGCCAGCTTAACATAAAAACAGTAAAACTCAGATTTTACATTTAGCACTTCCTGTCAAAATAAAAAAGTCAAATTTTTTTTAGGAGTTGTTTAGGTCACACAGAATGGGAGTCAGTAAAGAGCTTCTTTTTTTTTTTTTTTGGGACACTCTAGTGTTGAAGACGTCTCTCTAGCGCCCTTTTAAAGAATATTTCTTTTGATACCAAGTTGAATATATTTGGGTATAAAATTACAAAGTTATGACATTTAAAGTTAAGAAAAAACAAAAATTTAGCCATAATTTTATCACCTAAAATATAAAAATTCATATAAAATGTTTGGTACTTAAAACGTCATTACTTTTTATAGAATTGATTTTGATAAACTTTTATCTTTAAATTACTTTATTAAAGCCATTTATAACAATATATAGTAAACATATCTAATAGAGATTTACCTTTTTTAAAAAAAGTGCTTATATACTTGGTTTTTAACACGTTGCTCTAGATTGATTTGATCACAGATATTTAAAAGAAAAATTTAAAAGTGTGAATTCATGTATGTATTATATCAGGTATATATGTGTATACAACCTGAGAGAACCAAAATAATTTTAAAACATTTCAAACTAATTTTCCATAAAAATTATTGTTTTAGATTTTTTTATGTAAAAGAAAAGTATGAATATTTTACGTGTATTTTTTTGTGCTGAGTTGATTTAGATTTTGTTTTTGTTACAAAGAGGGCTGTTACACACTAAAAAAATAGGTTGAAATTTCTACTATAGGGTAGGATATATGATATACTTGTAGTAAGATATAATTTTCTATTTACTGCGGTGAAAAGTTATAAAAAAACAATGATTTGTTATACAATTTTTTACCTTCAAGGTATAATTTTTTACGGTAGAAAATAATACCTTGGTAAGGGTTACATATCCTACCTTAAGGTAAAATTTTGCTTTTTTTAGTGCGTAATGGATACCTAACTCTATCCTTTTAAACCGGTCTTGTCTTTTTGGACTCGAAACTTATCAGACTCGCTAACTAAACAATCTTATATAGTTCAGATTCATTATATCCAGACACGACTAACGTTTTCTAAACTTTAGGAGTAACAAACAATATTGGCGCAATATTGTTTACTACTCGGGTAATAGTGTTCAAAACTTTTTATTTGCGCAAATATTCTGATATAATTTAATATTAGTTGTATATTTCGATAGAAACAAATGATGCTTTTTAAAATAATTAATAAATTTCATAAATCGGATCAAAAAAACTTAAAACCCAATGTATGCACCCAGAAGTACACATATGCTGTTGAAACTTCAGAACAATTTTTCAAGCGGCGTTGGCACAACATTGGTCGCCAACGTGTTTTTATGTCAATTTTATTATAAATGCGATGTCGCCAAAAACTAACGTTGGCACCACGTTGTATTTTAAGTTATCAAAGTGTTTTTATGTTGATTCAACGTTGTACTTTTAGTTAACACAGCGTTTTATTTTACTAACTGAAAAATGACTGACTGAATTATTAATTATGAAAAATAAAAACAAAAAAGCGAAATAAGATTTATGAGGTTAATATAGGGTATAAGTCCTAAAATTTAATTAAACTCAGAACATGGTGCTGGCAACTGATTAACATGGGTTTAAGGTCTTTTTTTTTTCAGTTTGACAATGGCTCATACTATATAAGCCCAAGTATTAAAACAATATTATTACTATAAAAATAAATAATAGGTTACCAAACAAAATGTTCTTTTAACTATAATTATACACATACAACTACTTCTGCTTCTGTTTTATAAAAATAGTTTAAGTTTTTATCTGTTTATGCAGAGTTAAAAACTTTTACAAAGTCTCTTTTTGGACTTATTGAGGATTTTGCTCAGTAAACTGTTTTAAATAAAATTAAAAAGCGTCTTTAATTTGGGCATGATTATCGATCGAAGGAGCTATAACCTTAACAAAGTGTTTAAAATCCATAAAATTAAAATTCTAAAAAAACATGCTTTTTTCACTCAAAGTTATGTTTCATGCTTAATAAGTACAATTAATTAATTGTACTTATTAAGCATTTTTTTTTTTTTTTTTTTTGTTTAAACAAAAAAATAAAATTATATGCTGGTAGTAGTAGCTCTTTTTCTTTTATTTCTTTGAGGAATATTTTATTGTCTAAATGTCTTTGCAATAGTTAAAATAATTCCAGCAAAGTTATAAATTAAAAACATGCATTTTCTAGAACTTGAGATTTCAAAGGTATGGAAAT